TAGTTGAATATTGTAAGGGCCAGGAGGGTTGCAAAATCAGTTATGTGAGCTTCAAACGAATCCTCAAAAGAAATTAATCTGGACTTCTATGAAATGATCTACAGGAGACTGTCATTAAACTGACTGATGTTTTGTTCAAATGCACCAATATCTGCCAAGGCAATATACCAATATTTGCAGGGTGATATTAAAAGTCTTTGCTAGTGGCAAAATATTAAACACATTGCACAACTGAGCACATCTGAGGAGCATTTCATTTTTGTTCGCTTCTATTTTTAGAACAAAGCTTGTGGGACAGTAACACATTTCTCTTTTGCTACTATATTTGTAGTCTTGTTCTCTACAGCAACTGGCCATACAGCACACATTTTGATACCCATTGTAGTTGAAGGATTTTGTGTGTGTATGTGTATACCATTCCTGTGTGTCTTCTACATGATTATGTCTCTCATGTGGAATCCAACTGATGCTGTTGCACTCATTAAGGGCTTCGATCCAATGGATGGTTCCAGTAACAGAAGAGGAGAAGCAATTTTTGCTAATCCACCCTTCAACCTGCAGTCCCCATGACACCATCTGCTCTGCTCTGGAGGGTATCCTTGCTCTCTGGGAGCTGATTTCGAGGACTGCATTGGGGAGGGATAATCATCAAAAATCACCTCCATTCTTCTTTCATCAGTGGAGGCATACACTGGATCAAAAACCCTTCCACGTGTACAGTGGCACCAATTGAATCCCACCATTTTTAAAAACAACAATTGCAGTAGAGTGATATATGCTGCATTACTTGACTACCTCATCTGCAATATAGTAGTCACTTAGGTGCATGATGTTTATTGCCATAGTGAAGACTTTCACTTCATAATTTGTGTAGGCCTCAGAGAAACAGCAAAAGCTGTTGACTGGTTATTTAATCTGTGTCTGGAGCCGCCCCAGTTTGCACGTAACTAAACCGAACCACGGCTAACCATGAAAATGTTCCTGGGGCACTCCACTTTTGGTTCTGCTGCTGCTGCTGCACTGCCCAAAACTCATCCCTGATTTGGCTTAGTGGTATGTCTGAACCTGGGCTTATGCTTTGTCTCACTCCAGACCATGGGTAGGCAAACTAAGGCCCGGGGGCCAGATCCAGCCCAATCATCTTCTAAATCTGGTCCATGGACGGTCCGGGAATCAGCATGTTTTTACATGAGTAGAATGTGTGCTTTTATTTAAAATGCATCTCTGGGTTATTTGTGGGGCCTGCCTGGTGTTTTTACATGAGTAGAATGTGTGCTTTTATTCTAAACGCGTCTCTGGGTTATTTGTGGTTCATTATTTTTTTCAAAATATAGTCTGGCCCCCCACAAGGTCTGAGGGACAGTGGACCGGCCCCTTGCTGAAAAAGTTTGCTGACCCCTGCTCCAGACAAATCTTGAGGTGTAACTGAGGTTTGTTCTTGGCTTACTGCTCATGGTTTGTCCAGGGGAGACAAATAACAAGTCCAGGTTCAGACATAACATTCATCCAAACCATGGCTTAATTCAGAGTAATACATCAGTAGCAGAACCAGAGAAGAGCAGCAGGTGTATTTTTTGTACCGTGCGTAGCTGCTTGCTCACACATTTGTGCTACTCAATACAGTGGTACCTCGGGTTAAGTACTTAATTCGTTCTAGAGGTCCGTTCTTAACCTGAAAATGTTCTTAACCTGAAGCTCCACTTTAGCTAATGGGGCCTCCCGCCACGCCGCCAGAGCACGATTTCTGTTCTCATCCTGAAGCAAATTTATTAACCCAAGGTACTATTTCTGAGTTAGCAAAGTCTGTAACCTGAAGTGTATGTAACCCGAGGTACCACTGTAGTTTGACTTAGCATTATGTGCTGACTGCATACCCCCCCCCAACATTTCGGGAGGACAAATTGGGGCACCTCCACCCCCACCATCCTGCCATCCCTGTTGCTTGTCCTCTTCCTCACCCACTTGCTGCCAAAACAGGAGCCAAAATGTGACATCCCGGATTGGGATCAATAGCGAGGATGGCTTCTGTCAATCTGGGATGTCCCTCTTAAAACAGGACAGTGGCTCAGTATGTGACTGGGCTATTGTATCAAGTATCAAGGATTCGTATATCATATTCAAGTCAGTGGCAGCTTTCATGAAAAAGTAAGAGCCTAGTTTAAAATCTGAGCGTGAGAGGGGACCAAATTAGATATGATGCCAATGGAGATTTTCTTCCAATGCAAACAGTGGCTTCTATGGAGCAATTTTAACCAGGACCACGGTGGCAGGGATTAAATTCCCCCTCCTGATAGATGTGATCCTGATCTTATCAGTCCATGCCCAATGGTCTCCATTTGCATTTTTAAAAAAATGCATGTTAAACGCAAATCTTAATTTAATGTCATTTTTAATTTGGCTCTAGGGCTGCAGTTTCTAAACACACCTTCTAGAGAATAAGAGCATTGAATACTATGGGACTTCTGAGAATTGCATTGTATGCTGCGCCGAAAGCAATGAGACAAGCTAGTCACATGTCAAACCTACTTCATTAGTCTCAGTGGGACTTTGTTGTCATGACCAGCTTTAGCTGAATTGGGATCTATGTCTAATTCTCAGTTCCAGGGGTAATTATTTTAGAAAAAGAAAAAGCAGTGCCTGCTAAACATTTTAGCGCTAGACAAACTGAACTGAAATCGAGGCCTGATCTAATCACAATGCTATCCCTGCAAGAACATAACCAGCAATATATCTTCGATGCACACAATTTATTTTGTCTTCTGTTTCACTGATGTCCTTTCCAGTGTTTGACACATCTGCTCACTCTCTGAGCCACCACAGCATATCCCAAAACTCTTTGTATATAACACTACAACTTCTCCATAGCTGGAAGGACTCCTGGTTTAGGTTTATGTGTTTTGTTTCAGATATGCTTAAAAGCATTGCCTTAAAAATGTGCTAGTAAAGCACAAAATACTTCCGAAAAATCATAGCTGCAATTTCAAAAGCACTGGAAAGCTATTCATCATGAAAGTTGAACCAGCTTCTCCAATGCTAGCCAGCAACTCCACTGTAAATTATCCACAGGCATATTAGCTTATCAGTTATGGCACTTGAGTACTTTCCTGAAGGTTATGGATTCAAATCTTGGTCAACATCAGTGTAGCTCCTCAATTCCTGTTCAACATACTTAGTCCATTTCACCAAAGAAAATCAAATCAGTTGTGGGCTACAAATATTGCTATAAAAGGCTTTATTTCAGGTTATTCCTAAGAATATCTGTCTGAAACAATTGGTGGAGGAAAGGGAGTAAAATAAACTCCATAAAAGCTGTGTAAGAAAAGGGATGCTGATCTCACCAAACTTTAGTCTAAAGGCACTTTCAAATTAATAGTTCTAATATAATTTTTGTCTCTATGGGAGTGCTTTTGAAATTGTTTCCATGGAGGTGCCATTCTGTAATGTAAAAAAAAAAAAAAGCCTTTATCAGTTTCATTACATTGGAAAATAAAAAATAGAAATACTAGTAATAAGGGTAATAGGAAGCATGATTGCACAACATGTGAGTTAGGTAAAAAGCTGAAGACTTTTAATGATATATGAATCCATGAGTAGATTACCTCCACAGAACCATCATGGATATTTACATTACAAAATGATAAAGGTATCTGCACAAAAAGCACTACATCAGAACTCAAATCCACGTAAATATTTCAGGAAAGACTTGTTAGTAGATATTTAGACACCTGTCAGCTTGTAGTTGCATATATTTTCTGGGGGGAAGCCCACCTGGATTTTCAATACAATCACAACATTTTAAATATATGTCAGCTAAAGAATAATTCAAAAAGCACTTCTGTGGAGGCAAACATTGTTTGGGAAGTAGAGTGTTTGAAATTACTGACAATACGATTCAAAAATAGCCAATATATGAATTCATGCTGTATTCAGAGATGAATAAAACTGAAGGTTAGATGGGTTGTCAAAAATAAATAATGGCCAAGAAAACCTATCCAAATATATCTACATGGAGCCCCAGCCAGCCTCAGGTTATTCAAGGGATACAAGGATTTTTTTAAAAAAAAATCTACAACAGCTTTATTTCTGTGTCTCAATAATTTTTTTAAAGTTGCATAATTATATTCTGCACATAGCATTCATAATCTTATATGAAACAACAAGAAATTTGCAAAAGCAGTCCAACCTCTTCATCTAAGAAGTGGATCGACTTTGTTTTTTGTTGTACTGCAATCGTGCTTTTCTTAGTTACATTGAAATATGAATAAATATAAGTGATATATCTCTGAAGGCATTTTTCTTTCATACTAGTAGGAAGAAGCAATGTTCAAAATTGATCACCCTATAAACACCAGGAAGAGGAAAAGAGGGAGCATTCAACATGTTGGAGGGCCCCAAAATGAATATGATATATAGTTTTTATGTGTGTAAATAAATATAATTTATTAGAATGAAATAAAACACCCAGCAGTGAATGTAATACCTAGGAAGTGTGAGCATTGCCTTCCTCAGCTGCAAAAGGATTAACTTGTAAATCCAGAAGCCCTGCTGTATTGTCAGCCATACCTTGGGGCTTGCAAAACCTTCTCCTTGTCATAAACATCATTTAACTTCAACCTTTAATTATTGGCAAATGGAGAATATTGAACAAGCAATTCTTAAATCCTGCTTCTGAGCTATACACTTTAAATGTGTCTGTCATTACTTACTGGGAGGATAAATGTAATAGCGTTCCCTAAATGCCTATTATGGGTGTTATTATTATTTTTTTGAAATGCATGCAATTTTTGTAGCTTTTCTCTTCTATAAGGTAACATGATAGACATCAGGTTTAGCGTATGGTGCTGGCATCTTGGGTGTTGTTATGCTATTGTTTAAAAACTAATAAATAAAATAGTCCCTCTATTGGTAAACTTAGATGGGGAATGTCAACGGGATTGGAGCCAAAATGGGGGGACACTGAGAAAGAATCTCACCTAAGAAGCAGACAGCAGGGATAATTCATTCTGATAGCTCAGTTGGTTAGAGCATGGTGCTGATAACGCCAGGGTTGCAGGTTCATTCCCCATATGGGACAGCTGCATATTCCTCCATCGCAAGTGGTTGGGCTAGATGATTCTCAGGGTTCCTTCCAACTCTACAATTCTATGGTTCTATGATAGCCCCCATCTGGTCCCATCACCTCCTGGCAAATAGAAGGGGAAGAAATGGAGGCAGTGAGAGATTTTACTTTCTTGGGCTCCATGATCACTGCAGATGGTGACAGCAGCCACGAAATTAAAAGACACCTGCTTCTTGGGAGAAAAGCAATGACAAACCTAAACAACATCTTAAAAAGCAGAGACATCACCTTGCCAACAAAGGCCCGTATAGTTAAAGCTATGGTTTTCCCAGTAGTGATGTATGGAAGTGAGAGCTGGACCATAAAGAAGGCTGATCGCCGAAGAATTGATGCTTTTGAATTATGGTGCTGGAGGAGACTCTTGAGAGTCCCATGGACTGCAAAAAGATCAAACCTATCTATTCTTAAAGAAATCAGCCCTGAATGCTCACTGGAAGGACAGATCCTGAAGCTGAGGCTCCAATACTTTGGCCATCTCATGAGAAGAGAAGACTCCCTGGAAAAGACCCTGGTGTTGGGAAAGATGGAGGGCACAAGGAGAAGGGGATGACAGAGGACGAGATGGTTGGATAGTGTTCTCAAAGCTACCAGCATGAGTTTGACCAAACTGCGGGAGGCAGTGGAAGACAGGAGTGCCTGGCGTGCTCTGGTCCATGGGGTCACGAAGAGTTGGACACAACTAAACGACTAAGCAACAACAATGAGAGCCCCAAAGTTAATAGAAGTGAAAATAAAGCTTTAAAAAAAAATCAGAGGTGTCCACCTCCCTCTAATTCCCCCCCCAAAAAAAGTCCCAATTTATGAACATGTTCAGTAGCCATGGTTACAGACTGATTTAGGGGAGTGCAACCAGTTCAGTTGCAATGGGCGCACAGGCTTGGGGGCGCCACAGGGAGATTTCACAACTATTATTTAGAATGGAGCGCGAGAGGCAGGGGGCGGTGAATTTTGGTGCCTCAGAGGGCACTGCTGAAATTTGAGACCCCAAAGTCTGCCTCTGCCATTTTGGATGGTAAAGAAAAATGGGGAACCAGTTGTAAAAGAAAAAACTGAAAGCCAGAAGGGATGGAATTGAATTTCCTGGAAGAGGACATAGCTGGTAACAAGCTGATACCTTGAACAGGACTATTCCATACTGCAGCGTTCCCAGTTGTGTGATATATGGATCACAGGTGATTACATAGTTGTCTATTACTTAATAGCTACTCAATACAGAGCTGGCAAAATTAACCCACAAATGTTTATTAGGAAAAATGGGGTGTTAGAAAAGAAACAGTGTCAGGAAGGGGGTTGCATGCAATAGTCAATTGTCCATCAAGTTTGTATCAAAAGATTACTATATCCAGAAACTAATGGAAGCTTATGAGAGCATGGTTTTTACTGTGTAAGCTGAAAACGTATTTGGAAAAGAGGGCCATGGCTGATTTGAGGTCTGTATCAGTTTTCCTGTGAAGAAGAAAAAGAGCAGGGAACCCTATGCAACAGGATCTGAAGAGGCTATCTAGTCAAGAGAAGAGGAGCTCCAAGGAGGCATTTTGCCACGCAAGTTTGGCAATGGGGTTCCTTTCCTCACTGTGCAACTCCCCATTCTTGGTCTACTCTATTTTCGTCCACTCTATTTTGTTTTCCATGTTGCTTCATATACCTGCCATTTTGAAGTGATAAATTTAACATTTGCAGACCTCCAAGTGCACCATTTGAATTCATTTAAATCAGTTTAGATAACAGTAATAGTCTAATTTCATGGTTCAGTATAAGATACTGGTTACAGGCTTATGCCTTGTCTGCACTAATCACGAACTATTTTCACAGAGTTTCAGGAAAACACTATGACAATGTTCAGTATTCATGGGGTGCAAAAAAAAATGTATTAGGCAAGCTGCTCTAGATAGTTTCTGCTTTCAAAGTGAACTTGTCTTTACTATATATTTTATCTTAACATTCTGCTGCATTTTCCTGCGGAGAGGTTACTTTTCTACAGTAGTATTTAAAGTCGTTCTTCAGCACTGAACATAGTAGGCCTAAACATTCTTAAAGAGCATTCAGAAGGTCATTTACGGTACTTGTAAATAAAGGTGAAGTATGTTGAACCAGGAGAATTAAGTGTAATGGATTCTTCCACTTTCCTAAGTGTGATAAGTACTTCATCTTTACTGACCTTGTGAATATGGCCTTTATAGCATGGAGAGATGAATGCAAGAACCCAAGCAGGAGGGTGGTGCTCAAGATTAATTGATACAGAAACATTCCCATTTAGGAACACTCATTATTTGAAAGAATGGCTAGTGCAGAATGATCCTAGTATAGAATAAGTATAGATAATGGTGCATTGTACTGTGAGGGAGAAAGTATTTGGAATAAGCATTAGAAGAGCTTAAATACGGCATCACTCATAATTGAAACAGTATTTCAAAGTTTGATTTCCCATTGTACACCTCAATTACACGTCGAGGTTAAGGACCATGAATTCAGGAGCCACAATATGGCCTTGATCTCTCTGTGGGTGTAAATCAGTATATGGGAGCCTTTTTTTATGAAGAAAGCATTTTATCTGAGAAATTATGGCTTATTTTAGAGCTTTTATATTTAATAAAGGACATAAATTATGGATGAGGAGGGGAGAGAGAGAGAGAGAGGAAGGAAGGAAGGAAGGAAGAGAAATCAGGGTAATATAGGCCATGCTTGTTCATTTTTACAGACGTACTTGAAAGGAATCACATACGGATCATATCCAATAACACAGCACTTACCAGTATTTGACTACTTGTTCTGAGACCATTAATATTGAAACACTCGTCACACCTCCAGTTAGTAAAGCATAGTTCCAAATGACAGAAATCAGAAAAAAATAAATCAAGTCCTTAGAGGCACGTGGGTCACCAAGGTATGGGGAGAATTTTCCACCCCTAGCCCCAAAACGCCCAAATTGGTTCTGGCAAGTGATGATGTGTGTCATATTCCCAGCAGTCCTGGGCACTGAATGAGCATCACTCTGACCAGACAAGAGGGTGAATTATGCTTTCTTAATACTGTTTGGAATACAGTGGTACCTCGGGTTAAGTACTTAATTCGTTCCGGAGGTCCGTTCTTAACCTGAAACTGTTCTTAACCTGAAGTACCACTTTAGCTAATGGGGCCTCCTGCTGCCGCTGTGCCGCCGGAGCACGATTTCTGTTCTCATCCTGAAGCAAAGGTCTTAACCTGAGGTAATATTTCTGGGTTAGCGGAGTCTGTAACCTGAAGCGTATGTAACCTGAAGCGTATGTAACCCGAGGTACCACTGTACTATCTTGAAATCCAAAATTCCTCATCCAAACTATTGTCTCAATGGAGGCAAGATTCTGAGTCCTTCCCTCTATGAAACAGCTGCAGCAGGGCGGAACAGGGTAATAATAATAATAATAATAATAATAATAATAATAATAGAAGAACTCAGAGCATGCCCTTTGGGGAATGAAAGGAAGTAGAGATTTCCCCCGCTTTCCTCCAGGTGACCATGAGGTGAGAGATATGTTTGACTCTGACACATGGGATGTTGTCTCAAAGACATGGTGCTGCCCCTCAATGGTCACTTGAGGAGCAAAGTTGAGCTAATCCCTCTCGTCATCTCTGGAGGGGCATGTAGGGAGAATTTGACTGAGAGACAGGACACCCCTTTGTTCACAATCTCCAAATTCCTTCCTCCAACAGCTGTATCAGGGCGAAATGGAGGCTGGCATCCTTCAAAATGCTGCTGAGATGAAGGATTTCCTCCACAAATTGAACATAACAGACATTCTTAGGGATGGTACAGACCCCCCAAAAAATCAATTACTTTTTCATATATTTGCTCAGAAGAAGAAATCTCCACATCTTTCACAAAACTCACCAATGCCGTGCTAACAAGGAGAGAACGCTAGAAAAGATTGGGTAGTGATGTTCTCACCAAATTTCAGTTTGAAACATCATTTCGGAAGAGACTGGGAAGACAGGAGTTAGGAAAAGGAGAGAGCTGTCCATGGTACTTGTTTTATTTTGCCGCTATTTAGACTGGTATAAAAGAGTTGGGAAATATCATGTGGCTACCTACCCATTGGTGAACCTGGACAACTTCAGCTATTGTGAAAATAATGTGGCCGTAAAAATTATCATCACTCTGAAATCATTTATAGCAAGAGGCTAGTCTTGCAGAACTGTTACAGTCCAAGAGCTCTCAGTTTCCACCAGCTCCACTGGGAGACTAAGCAGACTCTGTTGGCATGTGCTATCTCTTTTTCAATGGGGGAGTGACTTAACTAATAAATACAATCAAGATCAAATTTCATTCAAATGTAAATAGTGACCTATACAAAGCAAAGTTCACAATCAAGCATCTCTGAATGCTTTGAAAGCCATTGCGAGTAATTAGAAGAGTGATAGCTATAAGACAAGAGGCACTGACATGGCAGGTGTTTCTTTTCAAAGAGATAGGTATAATCAGGTGTAAATTCTGTGCTGGATTTGCCTAATGCATCTGAGTGGGCACTTCAGCGAATACACTTCAGCTTACATAATCAGCAGGATTTCTCCGAGAGCATATTGACTTGGTAGCCAGCACTGCATTATAGCTGTTTTTAACCAAAATGTATGGTGTGTGTTTTTCCTAATATATGAGTGCTAGCAGCAAAGGTTCCCCCCCCAGCCCTTTGTGTGATATTCACCCTTAGTCCTACACACAGTAGACCAATTGAAGTTGCATTCATTTCGGTGGGTCTACTCTGAGTAGGACTTCGTTGAATACCACCCTTTACGTATTACAGTAATTAAGTTGCTGGCAAGTTTTCCCCCCATTTTATGTACTTGTCAACAATCAAGTCTGGCAGAAAAATTAGGACATCATCAGTCCTGATTAAAACACAACAATTTCTTAGTCACATGTTTCAGATGCTTCACTTGTGATTCCAGGATTTGCGTCAACTCTGTGATCAAAATTTTAA